ATGACTTAATCCTGGCAGGGTACCTGGCACAGAGTAGAAACTTGACAAATGTTTGTTGATAGACTAATAAATGTTTATTGACTGTCTATATGACACTGTCTTCAGCATGGGGCTGGAGGAAGAATGGGGAGAGAGGAAAAGTGGAAGCACCTGAGGTAAGTGCATAGAGGTTATTACCAATACTACTGGCCTCCCCCTGGGCCTTGCTGCCTAGCAGACACTGATGTTTAAATATCTTTGTTTGCAGAGGTTTGGGACAGGGGCCATGTTGGAGGGAGGGGTGAATGTTGAGGTTGGGGAGTCTGAGTAGACACCGATATCTATTCCCAGGCAAACTGTCCTATTTAATGTTCTTCACACACAATATTCCACAACCTTTAACCTGATTGTACCCCATACCTAGATTGTCATCCCTTTGCTGCTCAATCTTTTGGGATCCATAGCTTTCTCGAGAGTCAAGTCAAGCGCCCTTTCAGGAAGAGGCACTTTGGAGCTATTACGGCCTTCCCTTCCAAGGTTACCTTGTTTCTTTTCTGTATAAGTTTTATATATACTTATATAGCCAGACTGTGCCCCCAGATTTAGCATGCGAGCAAGCGTCATTGTGTGACTCAAAGGGAGGCAGAATAGACACTTGTAGGCTCTTCTCCTCCCACTCTTCTCCAGAGGAGACTTCATGCCCTGCCAGGAGGAGAAGCAGGAGGGCACTACTCTGTTCTCCTCAGAGAAGGGGATTACCAGGCTAGAATTATATCTATCTGTCCCCTTTGATGTTATTAGTCTAGGAGGATAGGCTAAGGTTCAATCTACCTTCTGATCAATGTTCATTATTGGGGGAAGCAGACCCTAAACTTTATACCCAAGGCTTTACCCCGTGCCCAGCAAATGCCAGTTTCACAATGAACACACATAGCACTTAGCCAAGAAAACCCATTTATCCAAATCGGTAGCAAAACAGAAATCAGAGAGGGTAGATAGAAGTATACGTACCAGACAATGCAGAGCGAAGGAGCTTGCCCATCGAGAGCAAGATGACTCAGCTCAACCAAGAAAGAGTCCTAGATCTCACCCAAAGGAAAACTCCTTAAAATCCCTAGTGTAACAAGCTAAGGACAGGGATGTGATGGAGACTTCTGGCTCCTTTCATGTCTTCCTGGAGTATTTGACTTCAATGACCTGAAGTGGGGTTGGCTTCTTCCATCTTCTCTCTGGAAACTAGAAATGCCTAAAGTCCTAAGAGACTCAGCAACTCAAAGACAACCGGAAGAAGACTCAAGACGTCTCCTTTCTCTCTGTCTCTCTCTGTCTCTGTCTCTCTCTCTCTCTCTCTCTCTCTCTCTCTCTCTCTCTCTCTCTCTCTTACTCTCTCTCTCTTTCTGTCTCTCTCCTCATACAGGCACAGGGCATTGTAATCCACCCATCAGGAGAGAATACCATACCAATGGGCTTTGGGATAAGAGTTACACTGATGTATGTGTATATATGTATATGTATGTACGTATGTATGTACATCTGTATGTATGTATGTATGTATTGTGTCACTCTTTAGAATGTAAGCTTCTAGAGAGCAGGCATTGTTTTTGCTTTTGCTTTTTTTTTTTGTCTTTGTACCTCCAGTGCTTAGCACAGCTCCTGGCACATAGTAAAGGTTTAATAAATGTATGTTGATTGATTGATTGATCTCCCATAGAGGGAGATATTGGGGACTCTATTCTCTGTCTTCTGGAGCTACAGAAGCAGCTTGTTCTTCCCTGGCCTCTGGTTTCTGCTTCTAGGTTCCTGGCTTCTAGCCTCAATATGGAACCCACCAATCACTTCTTTGGGCTCTTACTTCTCAATCTTACCCTGAAGGGGGCTCCAGGGTCCATAAGTGCCATCCTTTAGGTAGAACTGGAATCAGCTCAAGAAAACCCTTTTCCTAAGACTCCTGATCTCTTCTCTAACCTCTGTCATCCTGAAAGCAATCTTGGGAGTTGTTGGGAAAGAAAATGGATGGCATTGGAGGGAAAGGCAAAACATATCTTGCTCTTCCTGATCAAGATCTCAACACTCAGGGATGGGGTGACTTGGCAAGTGAGGGGTAGATCCTATAGGGCTGGAGGGGAGTTATACAGAGAGACTTTTTTCCAAAGAGTCAAACTAATACTACATTAGAAGGACTTGGGGACAGAGAAGTTCAGAGACATAAGGGAAGGTAGAGACCTCTAGTCTAACCCCCTCATTTTACAGAAGAGGAAGTCCAGAAGGAAGTTAGTAACAGAACAGGGATCTTGACTCCTAATTCTCTTTGCCCTCCCATCTTCTTCCTACGCCCATGTACCTTCATCCCACAGTTCTACTGGCTCCATCCAAATCCAAACTTCCATTCCTTCCCCCAGTCACTCTTCTCTTATTAGAGACTGGCATTTGGGAGTAGCTGACATAAATCTGAGCCAAGTATGGACCTCAGGCATCAAGAACCAGAAAGCAGAGGGAACAGAGATGTAAGAGCATCATAGGGCAGTGAATAGCCTGGAGTCAGGAGGAACTGAGTTCAAATCTGACCTCAGAATCTAGCTGTGTGACCCTGGGTGAGTAATTTAACCCTGTTTGCCTCTGTTTCCTCATCTGTAAGAGAATCTGGAGAAGGAAGGGCAAATCACCTCAATATCTTTGCCAAGAAAACCCCAAGGGGTCACAAAGAATTGGATGTGACTAATCAAACGAACAAGAAGAGTGTCCTGGAGAAGTGTGTGAAAGGGGCTGGAGAAGATGCACTTAGCACAGTGTTTGGCTTATACTAGGCTTTATATAAACCTCATGTCTCATCCCATGTCTTCCATGTTCACAACCTCAGTGTCATCAATAGTCTCCTCCAAATTCTATAATCAATCAGTTGTCAAGTCTTATCATTTTTATCCCCATGAGATCTTTTACCTTTATTTTGTGTAAAGAAAACCAATGCAGACAAGATTAGAAGGAAAACAGGAAACCGGGGGGAAAAAATCTTTGCAGCAAGTTTCTCTAAGAAAGGCCTTGTTTCTCAAATGTGTAGAGTATTGAGTCAGATTTATAAGAATATGGTCATTGATAAATTGATAAGTGGTCAAAGGATATGAACAGGCAGTTTTCAGAAGAAGAAATCAAAGCTATCTATAATCACATAAGAATGCCCAAATCACTATTAATTGTTGTTGTTTAGTAATTTTTCAGTTATGTCTGACTCTTCATGACCCCTTTTGGAGGTTTTCTTGGCAAAAATCCTAGAGTGGTTTGCCATTTCCTTCTCTAGCTCATTTTACAAATGAGGAAACTGAGGAAAACAGGGCTAAGTGACTTACCCAGGGTCATACAGCTAGTAAGTGTCTGATGCCGCATTTGAACTCCTCCAAGCCTGATACTTTATCCACTGTGCCACCTAGCTGCACCACAGATTAGAGAAATACAAATTTTGTTTGTTCGTTTTTTGCTTTTTGGTGAGGCAATCGGGTTTAAGTGACTGCCCAGGGTCACACAGCTAGTTAAGTGTCAAGTGTCTGAGGCCAGATTTGAACTCAGGTCCTCTGACTCCAAGTCTGGAGCTCTATCCACTGAGCCAACTAGCTGCCCAAGAAATACAAATTAAAATAATTTTTAAGTATCACTTCACACCTATCAGATTGGCTAATATGACAGAAGGAAAATGACAAATGATGGAGGGGAAGTGGAAAACTAGGGATACTAATGCATTGTAATGAAGTTGAAAACCGATCCATTTTGGTGAGCAATTTGGAACTATTCACAAAGGGCTATAAACATGTGCATACCCTTTGACCCAGCAATACCACTACTAGGCATGTATCCCAAAGAGCTCAAAGAAAAGCAAAAATGACCTATAGGAACAAAAATATTTATAGCAGCTCTTTTCCTGGTGGCAAAGAATTGGAAATTAAGGGGCTGCTCATCAATTGAAGAATGGCTGAACAAGTTGTGCTTTACGATTGTGATGGAATACTATTGCTATAAGAAACGATGAGCAGGATGCTTTCAGAAAAACCTGGGAAGACTTACATGAACTGATGCAAAGTAAAGTGAGCAGAACCAGAAGAACATTGTACACAGTAACAGCAATATTGTATGATAATCAACTGTGAACCACTTAGTTATTCTCAGCAATATAATGATCTAAGACAATTCTAAAGAAACTTAAGACGAAAATGCTACATACCTCCAGAAAAAGAACTGATGGCATATAAATGCAGATTAAAATATATACATATATATGTGTATATATGTACACATATACATACATATATACACACGCATACATATATGTAAATGTATATGTATGCATGTGTATACACACACAGATATAGACATAGATATATATTTTTAACCTTATTATTCTTGGGGTTTTTGGTCAGTTTTCTTTTGCAACACAGCTAATATGGAATTTTTTTCATGACTGCATATGTATAATCTATACCAAATTGCTTGCCTGCTCAAGGAGGGGGAAGGGGAGGGAGAGAGAGAATTTGGAACTCAATTTTTTAAAAACATGAATGTTAAAATTTTTTATTTATGTGTAATTGAGAAAAAACAATTTTTTTAAAAAACACCAAAAAAATCCACAAATAAAAAAGTAAGGAATATTACGCACCATTAAAAAAAAACTCTTACCTTTGTCCTCTTCTCTCTATTTACACAGTCACAACCTTAGAGTTCCAGTTCTCATCACCTCCTAATGGGCTTCCCTCCCCACTCCCTCCTTTCTGATCCATCCTCTACACAGCTCCCAAATTGGTATTTATTAAATACTGACCATAGCAGTCCCCTGACCAAGCAGGTCCTTATTGTCTCCAGAATAAAATACATTTTCCAGCATTTAAAGACCTTCACTGTCTGGATCCAACCCATCTTTCTAGTTTGATAATACGTTACTCCTGCTCATGTTTTCTTCTCTAGGTAGATGGACAGACTGTAGAACTTAGAATCTAATCTAATCTAATCTAAATCTTTTCTTTCTCCTATAATTCCAAAAGACCTAGGTGGCACTATGTAAAGAGCCTTTGATCTGGAGCCAGGAAGACTGAAGTTAAAATACAGCCTCAGATATTTGCTGGCTGGGTGAGTGTAAATAAATCATTTAATATCAGGCTTCCTCAGTTTTCTCATTGTAAAATGGGGATAATAGCCCTTGTTTCACAGGATTGTTGAGTGGACCAAACGAGATAATCTATGTAGAGGGCTCAACCTCCCTCCAATCCCTAGTCTTAAGAAGCTTAAGTTTTACTTGGGAGAACTACATAAGAGAGTGAGTAGAAAGATTGTGATGGAATACTTGAGGAGATGTGATAATATGAGAAGGGTTACAACACCCACAGTAAAAAGACTCTGAGCAAGTCACTTAACCCTGTTTGCCTCAGTCTGCAAAATTAGCTGGAGAAGAAAATGGCAAATCAGTGCAGTATCTCTGCCAAGAAAACCCCTAATGGAGGAGTCATAAAGAGTTAGACATGACTGAAAAAATAACTGAACAATAAGACTATGGAAAGGCTAACTGAAGGTAAAGGAGTTGGGAGAGAGTAAGGAAAGAGAAGAGCTAACGGTCAAGGATTCAGGTTGAGAACGCCAGCAGTTAGTAGGGCAGGGAAGCCAGGAGATGAAGACAGAGGAGGGACAGTAAGAATGGTCAGAAAAGAACAGGCCAGAGCAGACCCTCTCTACTGTACCACAGAGCCCAGCCCAGGATGAGGGAAGAGAAGAGGAAGGTTGAGGTTAGGGTTTACCAATCATTGCAACATGGTTGGCCCCTGCCCAGAGCCTGCTGCTTAGCGATCTCTTCTCCATGCTGCCTATGCTGCCTCCATGCATCCTCCTCTCTCCCTTTCCCCTTACCCCTCAGTCTTCTAAACCCTGGATTCTGCCTCCGGATCTTCTGGCTCTTGTACATGAGCTTTTGACTCATCTCTCCTAGAATTAGGCCACCGTGACACTTCTCTGTCATCTCTACACATCCCTCTCCCCAGCTCTCCTCTACATACTGGATTCCCCACTAGAACACAAGCTCCTTTAGGGCAGGCAGTGTCATGTTTCCTTCCGTACATATCCCTAGCACTTAACACAGTGGCATATGGCAAGGATTTAACGAATGCTTTATCTAGCTAGCTGGCAATGCTGCCTAGTGCTGGGCATGAGGCCTGGTAGGGGAAGACCTGAGCAGTAACTGACTTGTCTGTTCTCAGGCAAACAGGGGTCACCTCTTGCCTCTAGCCCCCACTTCTGGAACAGTTACTTGCAGCAAGGGGATGTTGAACATTCCCTATCTTATAGAAGCTTCATAAATAGCCTCAGCAGCTAGTTCTTTCCTGGTTCCTGGCTCTAAACTTCCAGCCTCATCGGGACCCAGCAGCCTCTTCCCTGGCCTCCTCCTCCTCAGCCTCACCTTGGACAGAGCTACCAGGCTCCACAGGCACCATTCCCCAGGTAGGGCTGGGAGTAGCTCAAGTAGGCTCTTTTTCTGGGCCTTCTGGTTCCCCTGAGCAGGGGTATACCTTCCATGTCTTAAGCAAAATGCTGGAGATTGTGGGGAAGAGGGAGTTGTAGCCCGTGGAGAGACAAGAACACCAAAAAGATGGGCAAACCCCAGAATTTCCCCTTCCTATCCAAGTCCCTCAATTTGTGGGGGTTAAAGAGAGGGATTAGGATACTCAATGGAAGGAAGGCTTGGAGAATTATCTGGGTCCATCTCATAAACTTGAAATTTTTTTATTTTTATTATTATTATTAATGTCAAGTTTGTAAGTGTCAGAGGAAAAAGAGACCTTAGAACACAGCATGGTAGAACTCAGAGGGACCTTAGAAATAAAAAATGCTAATCCTCTCATTTTACAGATGGGAAAATCGAGGCCTAGGGAAGTTAATTGAACACGAAATCCAGGTATCTTGGCTCCCACTTCTCTTTCTACTCCAGAAGGAAGACCTTTCATGCTCTGCACATCCTTGTTTCCAGTCTCCTTCCCTCACTCTTTCACCTGCCCCTCCCCACCCTCCAAAAATCAAACTTCCATCCCTTCCCTGTTCAAAGGGCTCAGCACCGGCTCTCCCTTCGCAAGAATTTGACAAATTTGTTCCCACCCAAGTCACAACAGCTACAGTTGTACATCTGTTCCCCCATCCGACTTGTCCAACAATTGGTTCCAGTTTGGATTCTGGGTTCCAAACCTTGGATTTTAATCTAAAGAAAGCGGTTGATGGTTGGGAACACATTTCAGGGCCCTGAGATGAGTGGGAGTCAAGATCTGAGGTGGGAAAGGGACCTTATTCTGGGCTATGGGGAATGGATGAAAGGGAGTTCATGCCAAGAGGTTGGGGGGTATGGAGAGGGGAGATGGGTGGTGGCCAGACTTCCTCAGGTCTGCAGAAACTGGACGTATGCCCAGAAGATATTTTAAATATACTATCAAGGATTCCCGGGACTGCTTTGAAGACAATCAGTGCCCAGAAAATATGACATGTTGTTATTTCAGCTGTGGCTTCAAGTGCCTAAATCCAGGTGCTGGCAAGGCTCTAAGTCTTAGGGGGAGAGGGGCCAGGGAGAGAGGTGAAACAGATATCTTTCCCTCCATCCTTACTATTCCATATTTCCGGCCCATTTATCCCAAGGGGTCATGCCTCCCTCTCCACTCCCCCACTCACACTGGATTCTCACCTCCACTTACCCTATCTCTGGGTAGCCATCATCTCTTCCTTCTACCATCTAATGGTCCATGTAAAGAATTGACCCTGAAGGGATCCCCAGGAAATAGATCCTCCGGCTGGCTGTCCTAAATTTACTTCTATTTGCCAAGCATTTGAGAATTGCAGAGCCCAGTCATTTCAACAACCCTTGGAGGTAGCCTAAATAAATGGGAGTTGGGGAGGGTGGCGTTGGCTTAGAGGGGAAGAGCTTTACCCAAGGTCACATAAGTGCTGGAGGCAGGATTTGAGTTAGATCAGGTAGAACAATCTGCTTAACTATATTTGAAAGAACAAAACCTTGAACTCAGTAGTACTAGGACTGAGGGTAGCTCAGCTCTTCTGAGGCCATTCCCTCAGGCCCAGCACAGAGACCCCTGACCCTTCTCACCACCCATGGGGTTCTAGGCCCCTGAAACACAGCCTGTTTTCAGTCAGGGAGGAGAAGAAGTTACCAAACACCTCTCCTTTCTTGCCTCCAGACAGCTTCCCAACCACCAGAAACCACAGGAGAGCGGATAGTCCAAGCTTTATAATACTATTTCAATCAATTCTTTTCAGTTCTAAGGGCCCTCCCAACTTTAGCAGTCACGAGCCACACTGGGCTGTTTCTTGAACCCACTTTCATTGTTAGGACACTTTCAAGGGCCCTGGCTGTTGGCAAGAAGGGAGCACAAGTATCTCCACTCTATCCATCCCAGGGAATCTGGCCTGTGCACCCACTTACAAAATTCAGCAGATAGAGTCAAGTGATTTACCCTCAACTCAGGAGGCATGCAAAATGAGGGAATGGGGAGAGGAAGTTAAATGCTGCCTTATGAACCCTGCCTTCCCTCCCTTCATCTCTGGGCTCTCATCCTTCTCTTCCCCTCCCCCCCATCCCTGGGCCTTTTCCTTTCTCCCCTTGAACTCTTCTCCTCTCCCTTTTCTTGCTCATCCTTGGGATCTCCCCCTCTCCTCTCCCACTTGGAGTGTCTTTTTCCTATCCTGTCCTTCCCCAACCCCAAGTTTCTTCCGCAGGGCTTCCCCCTACAGTTGCCAGGATAGCCAGCCCTTTCTGGTTCTGACTCATCTCTCCCTGGTGACTCCGGAGCCCCACTCTCTCTCCAGATCCATGCCTGCTGACCTTGGACCTTGGTTCCTACATGACCTTCACCCCTCGATGGTACTTGGCGGCTAACTACACTTGCCAGCCCTTTTTCTATAGTGGCTGCACTATAGGCAACACTAATATTTTTACCTCCAAGGAGGACTGCAGGAAGGTCTGTGGGAGTAGAACCCCAGAGGACCCTGCCAAAGACATATAACCCAAGTCCACAACTTAGAGTAGAGCTTGGCTGAGTGGCAGGTCATTCTCACCCAAGACTTCTTCCTCCATCTTGAGTGTCCTCATCCTAGCTGAAACACTGACCAGCTGTGTGACTCTGGACAAATCTCTCTCTGAGCTGTTTCCTCTTCTATGAAAAGGGGATGGGGGAGGATGGTTGCTGTAGAAAACAGGTTCTTAACATGCAATAGAAACATGAACTATTATTCTTCCCTCCTCTGCCCCAATCCATAACACTCTTCCCTTAAAAAAAAAGTGCTTACATCCTACCTTCATCCCCCTATCCTACCACAGTTGACCAAAAATACCTCATCTGAACCTTATGACCATATGAAGGGGCACTTTTGTCCCCCTTTTATAAGTGGCCCTCAAAAGGGAGTGATATGCCCAAGACTACCACTGGCTTTAGTGGAAGATCAAATGGGCTTTAGTGAAACCTTTGCTTTTACAGCTGAGGCCACTCAGGAGGAAAGAAGACAAGTAATTCAGTTACCGTTAAACGCTGAGTCTCTCCCATTCTATGCTGTCTCCCCCAAGGTATAAATCATGAAGAGGTTTCCCCACAGGTGTGGTTGACCCAAATACACTTTGCTATTTGCTTTTGCTTTTTTTATTTTTTTCTAAAAATATGACTTCTTATTAAATTAACCCAGTGCTGACACATCTAAATTAATCATTCATTTCTATGAAACAAATAACAATGACTTGTTCTAGAAAGGGTATATTCAAAGAATTTTGAATAAACCAATTTACACTAAAGTGTTACTGTTTCCCAAATGTGTGGGAAGTGCTATGGGCCTTTGCCATTAAAGTCAGGGCTGAATGCAGTTACTCCTTCTCTGGGTTTTTATAATCTCAAAGAGGGGCTTTCATCCTTCCATGAGTGCGACCTGGCCCCTTCACTGTTGCCTTGTCCAGTGACTCGGGCTGAAGGGTTGGCACAGGTTCATGAAATAGATCAGAATGAGACATGCTTCTGGGGCAGACAGGAAGTTCGCTACCCTAGAAGCAAAGTGTTCAGCAGGGGGGATGGGAAGCTGGTGAAGTCAACTGGGAGCCAGTTCCTCTGCTTTGCAGAGCCCAAGACTCATTGTCCAGAGATTCTAACTTGGACCTCAACTCTCCAGATCACCTGAATGCAGGCCTGACCCTCCTCTACAATGTTCTTCTGGCTGCTTCGTACAATGACTGTTGGAACCTGGGGAAACCGAGCAAAGAGGTAGGGAATGGAACCACCTTACCAGTCATAAAAATCATACCATTGTAAGGGACCTTAGCCTAGAAAATTAGAATGTTGACAGCTGGAAGGGATCTTGGACTAATAGAATGGCAAAAGTCTAAGTGATATCAGGACCCAGAACCCAGAACCTAGAGTGGTGGATAAAACAATAGAACTTTGTAACCAGGGAGCAAAGTACTATATACATGGGACTGTTACTGTTCTTCTACTAATGACCTCTTTTGATGCTTTATTATGGCACAGACATAACCCTAGTTTCTTGACGGCTGTGTACTGGGACTCAAATTGAAAAGGTGTTCTAGGAGGGGCAGCTAGCTGGCATCGTGAACAGAGCTCTGGCCTTGGAGTCAGGAGGACCCGAGTTCAAATCCAGCCTCAGACCAAACACGACACTTACTAGCTGTGTGACCTTGGGCAGGTCATTTAACCCCAATTGCCTCACCAAAAAGGGGGGAAAAAGGTATTCTACAGTGGGCTCAGATATTATCTGAGGGACCAGCTTGGCTAAGAGCCAGTCTTTGGGCTGCCCGTTAAGCCTACACTCCCCTTTGAAAATTCTAACTCTGAAGAGGTGGAAACAGTCAGGCTTAGATAATACAGGTCGCTCACAGAGGAGTCTGGATGGGTCTGAATGGGCAGCAGAATGGAGGGTGGGGAAAGAACGAGTAATCATTTGGAGGCAACAATCACACCCTGTAAATAATGATAGAATGGATGCTCTGAGGTCATTAGGAGGTCCTAAGTCAAGTGGCACCAGGAGAGATGCCAGGGGAAATCAGTGGGTACATGTCGAAGACATCTTTTGTGGGAAAGATTTTCCCTCCCCATAAGAAAAATTTTGTTGATTCTGCTATTTTTTGGAGGATCCTTCTGGAGGTGGCCCAATAAGTCCTGATAATTTGGATTTTCCACTACTTTAAGAGAAGTAAATGTACCCAGAAGCTCCTGAGCAATATGATGTCATGGGAAGGGCCCTGAGTTTGGAGTCAGAAAACCTGGGTTCAAATCTTGGTTCTGCTATCTACCCCTTCTTGTAACTTTGGACAACTCACTTAATTTCTCCAGACTGGGCCTGATTCCAAATGTCTTTATAGTAAAGCAGGGGTTTTAACCCCAGGGTCTGTGAACTTGAGTTTCTAAAAATGTTTTGATAACTACTTCATTATAATTGGTTCCCTCTGCACTCACCTATATTTTATTTTATGCATCTAAAATCGTTTTTCTGAGACTCTTCTCTGAATCCATAGGCTTCACAGCCTACTAAAGGGATCTAGGGCACAGAAAAAGTTAATAATCCCTATACTAAAGGAAGCAGGTGGTACAGTGGATAGACACTGGGCCTGGAGTCAGAAAGACCTGAGTTCAAATCTGCTCTGATACTTCCTAGCTGTGTGACCCTGAGCAAGTCATTTAACCTTCATCTGCCTCAGTTTCTTCAGTTATAAAATGTAGATTATAATAGCCCCTACCTCTTAATGTTGTTGTTGGGATCACAGGACAGAATCTTTATAAAGCATGTAGTGCAGCGCCTGGCACACAGCTGGTGTTTAATAAATGCTTCTTCCCTTCCCTTAATTGACAAGGTTAATTAGAAAAGAAACCAGGTAGTTAACTTTAGCCAAATTCTTTCTCCTTTCACCCAGTTTAGGGTTGGACTAGAAGGTCTCTAAGATTTGTTTCCGCTCTAAATCATCTGTGATTTGTCTGCCACTGTGGTGCTGGGGGCGCTCACCTCCCCGGAATCCTGGGGGCAGATCTGTGAGATCAGCCTGTTCTTGGCAAGTGTCTGTGATCTGCCAGGCATCCCTGCCTTGAGGTCTGGACTTGGAGCTTACTGTGGGCTGTTGAGGGAAGAAGGTAGGGGGAGGGCTTCAGGAGGAAAGCAGTCCAAAGAGGAAGGCAGTTTGCCAGATCGAGCCCCAGCTGGCTCTGCCTCCCCTTAGGACTACAGGACTTAATGCTTCAGGGGACCCGGGAGTTCATTCAGTACAAACTCCTCATTTTGCGGAAGAGAACAATTAGCCACAGAAGTCAAGTGACCTGACCAAGATCATCTAGGTCACAGAACCTAGACCCTACTTTCTGGACTCCTTCCATTCCTTTTCTGGACGGTCCCCTGAGCGCTAGGGCCACAGCCACTTCAAGGATTTTCTCAAACTCTTAGAATCCTTAGTTTTCTGGAAGATCCAGCTCAAGCACCATATTCTGTGTATCCCTTCCTGATCCCCCAGCTGTTAGTGCCAGCTCCCCCAATTGACCTTGTATCTATTTTGTGTATGCACCGTTTTTGTACGTTGATGTCCCTGGCTTGACAGTAAGCTCCTTGAAGGCAGGGACTTTTTTCACCTTTGTCTTTTTATTCCCCAGAGCAACTCAGTGGCACAGTGGATAGCCTGCTAGGCCTAAAGTCAGGAAGACTCATCTTTCTGAGTTCAAATCTGGCCTCAGACACTTACTAGCTGTGTGATCCTGGGCAAGTCACTTAACCCGGTTTGCCTCAGCTCTCTCATCTATAATATGAGCTGGAGAAGGAAATGGCAAACCGCTCTAGTATCTTTGCCAAGAAAATCCCCAAAGTGGTCATGAAGAATCAGGCACAACTGAACGACTTTTCATCCCTAGCACCTTATAGGGAGCCTGACATGTGGTGGGCACTTAATAAATGATTAATTGATAGATTGATTTCTTTTACTACCATCAGCTGCAATGTTGCTCTCAGGGATGAAAGGATGTGGTTCAGTGCCTAGAATGCTATATTTGAAGCAAGGGGACCTGGGTTTCAAATCCAGCTCTAACTCTTACTATGACTTTGAACAAATCACGGAATTTCTCTGGACTCAATTTCCTCTGTAAAATGGGGGTGTACAATCAGGGAACAATCATTTATGAAGTCCTTGCTATGTGCCAGGCACCACCTAAATGCTAGAGATACAAGCAAAGAAGAAGTCCAGTCCAAAAGAAGCCAAAGAAGGCTGCCTTCAAGAAGCTTACTTTCTAATGTGGGAAGGTAGCATAAAAAAAGGGAACTAAAATGGGGAGATAAGGTGAAGAATAAACTGGAGCAGGGCCATGGTGAGACTCCAGAGAGTCAGAAATATAGCTGGGAGAAGAACAGAGCATGGCCAGTGTACGTCTATCCCCAAAATGGAAGCCTTTGAAGAAGCTCCCCAATTGGAGAAGGGGGCCAGCATGTCAAAGGGATGTCCAGGGTGAATAACCAGTGGGGCCATGGATTTAGAAGAGTTAGAAGCTGAGCCCAAGGAGAGTTATAAGCCCAAACAAGAGAGCAACAAAGCATGGGCTTCAACTAAGGGACCTCCACAGTCCCTTTCAGCTCCAAGTCTATGATTTCTTCTGGTTCAGTTCAGGCTTCCCTTTCTTCCATTTAGTGTGCTCAACATGGGGGTTGGGTTAGGCAATAGGATTTTTGCTAACACTTAAAGGAAAACAAGGTAAAATGATAATTTCTAGAACAAAGAATTAGAGCCACAAAGTTCAAAGATTTCAGAACTGAGTTAAAATGCCATCTAGGACATTTACTCACCAGGTGAATCTGTAGACCACTTACCTTTGTAAAACCATGGATTCCTTATCTGTAAAATATGGATAATAATAATTTCCACAGATAAGACTCTGTATTGCAGAGAAGGTGTTGCTTTTATTGGTAATGAAACTTCCTCACCAAGAGCACTCTACATTGATGAAATCATAGGTTCAATCAAAATTATGATACTCACAATAATTATTATCATTATCATTATTGCTATTATTCCCCCATTTCACAGGATTATCTTGGAAAAATCAACTTGTAGAACTTAAATATGATATAAATGTGATGTTGTTGTTATTACTAGCAAGGCATAGCCTGAATTAAAATTTTACAGTGACTGTTATGCAATGCATTGCAATAAATATTTTATTAGCAACATTTTGTTCATAGAGCACTGTGCTAGGCTACAGTATACAAGGCTCCATGCTGGGCTCTTGGGGATACAAAGCATAAAAAAAAAAAATGACTCAGTCTCTGCCCCCAAGGAGCATGCACTCTATCAGAAGATAAGACAATGTCTACAAATATGTATACAAAATGTTCACAAATAATCATGATTCAAGTTAGAAGGCAGGGTGGAGAGTGAATAGAGGTATGATCTTAGAATTAGGAGGACCTGGGTTCAAATCTTGCCTCTGACATAGACTGATTTTGTGATCCTTGGGAGGTAACTGAACTAGATGACCTCTAAGTTCTCTTATATCTATAAATCAATGATCCTTTGAATTTAACCTTTCAGTGTTCCAAATAACTATGAATCACAAAACAATTGATAGAAGGAGTTTACTATAACAATAAAACCAGGAGCACAGTCCCACCCCACCTTCCCCAGGAGCATAGGATACTGTCAAACAGAATGGGATAAGAGACCGGGAGAAAGATGAGATAAGTGGCACTAGGTTGGGCCTGGAAGAAAGAGAAGGGTCTCATCTAGAAAAGAAGAGGAGGGAGTGCATTCCTGGCAAGGGAGAAGGCTTGCACTAATTCATAGGAGTAGGAGGCAAAGGATAAAGTCAGCAGTAAGACTGGAACGTTGAATGCATGAAGGAGACTGATAGGAAATGAGGCTAAAAAGGCAGGCGAATGCCACACGACTAAGGGCTTTGAATGCCAGGTTGAATCACTGATATTTTATTCTGAAGGTAATGGAGAGGGGTCATCACATCCTCCAAATCTTAATATCCTTACAGAAATACACAGAGCCTGCGGTCCTGATTCAGCACCATGGCCAGATGCCTCGGACTTTCTTCCTCCTCTCCCTAGGCCCACCTAGATTTCATTCCTCTTTGAATTCACACCTGGTCCCTCTCTCACCAAACATTGAGGATCATTATTCCCCAATACTATTAGTCTTATTTTTCATAGGATCAGAGAATATCAGAGCCAGAAGGGACATTAGAGATCAGCTCATTTTACAGATGAAGAAGAAAAGGCCTAGAGTGGTTAAGTAACTTTCCCAATGCCACAAAAAAACATAAGTAGCAGTTAGAATTTGAACCCAGGACCTCTGACTTTAAATTCTTTGCTCTTTTCACTATAGCAGGCTGTCCGCTTAGCACACATGGTAACAGAAAGTCACCATATATCCACAATAAGTCATATGAACATACAATTCTTGCCTTTGGGACATTTTCACAGGCTTGAGCTTCTTCCTAACTCTGTTCTCTCTGCTTTATCCTCAGCCCCAGCTTCACATGGATTTGGAGGTCTATTATCACCATCTTCCTGATCCTCATTCTCCCCTTGGAATTGATGTCTAATTTGTCCTTTAAGAGAGCATCAAGTAGGTGCAAGGAAGACAATGCTCATCCTCTGCAATGTCCTGGTGGCATTTCCCGGGGGCAAGTCACCTTGGGTGTGGGCTGAGGACTGGACTGTGGTTGAGGATTATGGGTAGAGGACTTGCTCATGGACAGGATAGATGGCCACTAAGGCCCACAGACTATGAAGGGACACAAACAGAGAAATGTGATACACCATATACATGACAAGTGATAAAGGACTGAATGAGATCTGAGGGGAAAGGTTGTTACTGCCCAGGCCAGAAATCAGAAGGCTTGAGTTTGATTCCTAGAATCAGAGTCACAACTAGCTACAATTTCATCCAGTGAAAATTGGAGGGAGGGTGGTATGGTGAAATACGTTTGAAACAAAAGAGTACCCAAACCAGGGAGAACTAGAGTGGCACAGGACCTCCCCACTGCGAAGAGAGGGTAACCTACCACCCAGCGAGACCCACAGGGCAGTTGCATTCCATTCCTCTAGAAGGGGAATGTCAAAGGAAGGGAATAAGCATTTATATAGCAGCCACTATGTAGTAGGCGCTATACCAGTGGCTTTACAAATATCTCGTCTCATCCTTAAGGGAACGCTGTTCTTATCCTCATTTTGCAAATGAGGAAACTGAGGCAAACAGAGTTTAAGGGTCACACAGCTAGTAGAACTCAGGTCTTACTGACTCCAGGCCCAATGCTCTATCCACTTTGCCGCCTAGCTACCCTTAAGTTCCTAAGAGGCCCTGATGATAGTCTCTATGGGGGTAAACCATGGAAGCAGGCTCTCCCACCATGTCAGTACCCTTTCTCTCAACTCCTTGCATTTGCACTGGCTCTCCCCCATGCTCAAAATACTCTCCTCAGCTCTCCTGGTTTCTCTGACTTACTTCACGACTCAGGTCAAAATCCTACCTTTTGTCAAAGAAGGTTTTTCCTGCCTCCACTAGTCCTAAGCAGTTAGTGCCTTCCCCTATGAGACTGCCTTCCTCTATCCTGTTTATATCTCATTTATATGTAGTTGTTTGCATGTTGCCTCTCCCATTAGACTGGATGCTCTTTGAAGGCAAGGATTTTGCCTTTCTTTGTATCTCTAGCACTTGGCTTAGTGCCTAGCAGAGAGTTGTGTTGTCCAGACATTTCAGTTGTGTCCAACTCTTCATGACTCTATTTGGCAAAGATGCTGGAGTGGTTTGCCATTTCCTTCCCCAGCTTATTTTACAGTTGAGGAAACTGAAGCAAGCAGGGTTAAGTAATTTGCCCAGGGTCACACAGCTAGGAAGTGTCTGAGGCCAGCTTTGAACTCATGAAAATGAGTCTTTCTGACTTCAAGCCTCACACTCTATCCACTACACCACCTAACTTCTGTCTGGAAGAGAATTAACACTTAATAAATGCTTCTTGATTGACTGATTGACTGGGCATGGAATGGTGGATAGAGTGTCAGATTTAGTGTCAGGAAGACCTGAGTTCAAATCCTGCCTCAGATACTTACTACCTGTGGGCAACTCATTTAACCTCTCTGTGCCTTAGTTTCCTCATCCATAAAATGAAGGGGTTGGACTCAATCTCCTCTTATGTTACTTCCAGATTTAATTCTGTGAGCCTCTTAGGGACTCCATGCTAGTTCCAGTTCTGCTAAGAATCACCTCTCATTGGTCCTATGACCTAAGTAAATCATTTTTTCCTCTCGGTTTCCTCTTCTATAAAATGGAAATAATAATATCAGTCAGTTAGTTGGGTTGAGGGAGTTTTTCAGAGGTCACAGGGTTTTTTTGTGAGAATAGTATTTTATTTTTCTTATTTTGTTTTATTTCTAGTTTCAAATTCTTTCCTTTCCCTTACCCCCTTCCCTACCCATTAAGGAGTCAAAAATACAATACCCATTATACATATAAAGTTACATAAAACATTTTCCCATTAGCCATGTTCCCAAAAAAAGATAAAGATTAAAAAAAGTTTACATATGCTTCAATCTGCACTCTGAGTCTATCAATTCCCTCTCTGAAAATGGATAGTATTTTTCATCATGAGTCCTTTGGAGTAGTGGTAGAGCATTGTATTGATCAGAGTTACTAAATCTCCCACAGTTGATTATCTTTACAATATTGCTGTTACTGTGTAAATTGTTCTCCTGATTCTGCTCACTTTTACTTTGTATTGGTTCATTCAAGTCTTCCTAGGTTTTTCTGAAATCATCCCCTTCATCATTCTTATAACACAGTAGTATTCTATCACATTCATATATCATAACTCATTTGGTCATTCCCCAAGTGATGGGCATTTTCTCTATTTCCAATTCTTTGCCCATCACAAAAAGTACTGTAAATATTTTTATGCACATGAGTCCTTTCCCTTTTTATTTAATCTCTTTGGGGTATAGACCCAGTACTGATATTGTTAAGTCAAAAGGTATGCATGGTTTTCTAGATTTTTTTGGCATAGTTCCAAATTGTTCTCCATAATGGTTGTACTAGTTCACAGCTTCACCAACAGTTCATTATTGTTCCTATTTTCCCACATTCCCTCCAGGAATTGTCATTTCTCTTTTCTATCATCTTAACCAATCTTATGGATGTGAGGTGGTACCTCAGAGTTATTTTAATTTGCATTTCTTCAATTATTAGTGATTTAGAGAATTTTTGCATGAGTGTTGATTACTTTGATTTCTTCCTATTAAAACTGCCTGTTCATATCTCTTGACCATTTATCAATAGGGGAATGGTTCTTATTCTTATAAATTTGGCTCAATTCCCTATATATTTGAGACATGAGACCTTTAGCAGAGAAACTTGCTCTAAAGATGTTCCCCTGATTTCTTGCTTTTCTTCTCATTTTAACTGCATTGGTTTTGTATATGCACAAACTTTTTAGTTTTATACAATCAAAATTAGCTATCTTACTTTCTGTGAACCTCTCTATCTCTTCTTTCATCATGAACTCTTCCCCTAACCATAGATCTGACAAGTAATTTCTTCCATACTCCAGTGATTTGCTTATCATATCATCCTTTATAGCTAAATCACGTAACCATTTCAACTTATCTTGGTATATGATGTGAATGTTAGTCTATGCTTAGCTTCTGACAGACTACTTCCCAGTTTTCCTAGAAGTTTTTGTCAGACAGTGAGTTCTTGCCCAGAAGCTGGAGATTTGAATTTATCAAACATTCAGTTAATGCGCTCACCTGTTTCTTTATATTGTGTATCTAATCCGTTCCATTGGTCAGCTACTATATTTCTTATCTAGTACAAAATTGTTTTGATTATTTTATATTTATAGTATAGTTTAATTAAATTTTATAGCACATAATATAATAGATAGCTAATATTAAATTTTATAGTATAGTTAGAGAACTGATACTGGTAGGCCCCCTTTATTAACATTTTTTCCATTGATCCCTTTGATATTCTTGACCTTTTGTTCCTCCAGAAGAATTTTGTTATTATTTTTTCTAGCTCTATAAAATAATTCTCTGGTAGTTTGACTGGTATGACACTGAATAAGTGAATTAATTTAGGCAGTACTGTCATTTTACTATAGTGGTTTGGCCCAGCTATGAGGATTAATATTTCTCCAGTTATTTAAATATCTTTTTTGCATGAAGAGTGTTTTGTGATTAGGTTCACATATAAGGGGTCAAAGACACTTTATCAAATGCAATTTTATTGCATTATGGTCAGGAAAAGATGCATTTAATATTTTTGCTCTTCTGAATTTGTTTATGAGATTTTTATGCCCTAATACCTGGTTAATTTTTGTATGGGTGCCATGCACAGTTGAAAAATAGGTATACTACTTTCTTTTCCCTTCAATATTCTCCAGAGCTCCACCATATCTAGCTTTTCTAAAATTCTATTTATCTCCTTAACTTCTCTATTTTTTTATGGTTAGATTTATCTGGGTGTGAGGGGGTAAATTGAGGCCTCCCACTAGTATAGTTTTACTGCTCATTTCCTTCTGTAACTCATTTAATTCTCCTTTAAAAAACTGGTTGCTATCAGTATTGATATTAATTTATGGTCTGTGGTATCTTTAAGCAAAATGTAGCTTCCCTGATTATCTTTTAATTAGGTTTATTTTTCCTTTTGCTTTGTCTGAGATCATAATTTATACCGCTACCTTTTTTTTTACTTCAGATGAAGCATAATAGATTCTACTTCAGCCCCTTATTTTAACTCTGTGTGTACCTTTCTATTTCAAGTGTGTTTCATGTAAACATGTTATTGGCTTCTGGCTTCTAATCCATTCTATTATTCTTTTCCATTTTATAGGTGAGTGCATCCCATTTACATTCACAAATATAAGTGCTAGCTGTGTATTCTCCTCCATCCTGTTATTTTATATTTAGCCTTCTCTTTTTTTATCCTGTCCCCTCCTCAAGAGCCTGTTTTGCTTCTGACCACTGCTTCCCTAACTCTACCCTCTTTCTTAACCCCCATCCTTCCTCTGAGCCCCTTTCCCTCCTACCTCCTTACTGGGTAAAAGGAAATTCTCTACCCAACTGTGTGTACATTTATTCTTCCCTCTTTGAACCAGTTCAGATGAGAGTGAAGTTCAAGTATTGCCTGCTCCCATCCTCCATTCTCCCCTCCGTGGTGTAAACTCTTCTTTGTGCTCCTCATTTATGTAAGATAGTTTCCCCATTCTTCTTCCTTCCCCCTTCTCCCAGTTCATCCCTCTTTCTCCCCCTTCCATTATTCATTTGAGATCACCCGGACATAATAAACTCATGCCCATGCACTCTAAGAAAACTCTAACTGCCCTAGTGATGATAAAGTTCTTAGTTTCTACATGTATCCTCTTCCCATATAGGAATATAAACAGTTTAACCTTGGTTAGTCCCTTATGATTTTTCACTCATGTTTACCTTTTTATGATTCTCTTGAGTCTTGTGTTTGAACGTCAAAATTTCTACTCAGTTCTGGTCTTTTCATAAGGAATGTTTTAAAGTCTTCTGTTTCATTAAATATCCATTTTTCCCCAGTAGGATTATACTTGAATTTACTGGGTAGGTTATTCTATGCCTTGTGGAATATCATATTTCCAAGCCCTCACTTCTTTAGAGTGGTATCCACTAAATCTTGTGTGATCCTAACTGAAGCTCATAGGTATTTGGATTATTTCTTTCTGGCTGCTTTCAATTTTTTCTCCTTTACCTGGGAGTTCTGGATTTGGGCCATAATATTCCTGGAGTTTTCATTTTGGAATTTCTTTCAGGAAGTGATCAGATTCTTTCAATATCTGCTTTGCCTTGTGGTTCTAAGATATCTGGGCCATTTTCCTTTATAATTTCTGGAAATATAATGTCCAAGTTCTGTTTTTGTTCATGAAATTCAGGTAGCCCAATAATTTTAAAGTTATCTCTCCTCAATCTATTTTCCAGATTTTTCCAGTTATTTTTCTATGATATATTTCATATGTTCTTTTTTCATCCCTTTGACTTTGTTTTACTGTTTCTTGATGTCTTGTGAGTCATTAATTTCCATTTAACTGATTCTAATTTTTAAGAAATTATTTTCTTTAGTTAGATTTTGTACTTTTTTAAAAAATCATTTGGCCAATTCTTATTTTTAAAAAGTTATTTCCTTCAATATTTTTGTGCCTCTTTTACCAAGCTGTTAATTCTCTTTCCACACTTTTCTTGAATTTTCCTAATTTCTTTTTCCAATGTTCCCTCTACTTTTCTCATTTAATTTTTTAAAAAATTGCTATTTTTAAAAACTCATTTTCTTTAGCTTTTCTAAGAATTCTTGTTGGATGTGTGTCCCATCTGCATTTTTCTTTCAGGCTTTACTTATAGATGTTTTCAAGTATTGTCTTCTTTTGAGTTCTTGACTTGAGCTTCCCTGTAACTATAGAAGCTTTTTGTGGTCAGGTACTTTTTGTTGTTGTTTGTTCATGATTCCAGCCTATTTCTTGACTTTGAACTTCTTGTTAGAGTTGGGTTCTGCTCACTCATGAGGAAATGTCTGGCTGAGTTTCTGTCCTTTATGTCCTCCAGTTACTTTCACAGCCCAGTCTGGGTGCCTTTTAGTGCTTCAGTATGGTTTGATCCGGGAAGTGGTCAGTTCTCTACCCTCCTGGTCTGCTCCTTATACAGCCAAAGCCTTTGCTCCTTTTGTGACCATGACCTCTCCTCTCCAGCTCGAAACTGTGTCCCAGAACTGAGTAATTGGTAACAGAGCTGCCAGATGACACCCATCCCTGCTTCCAGTGATAGTACAGGGATCTGCTTTCTGCCCAGGTGTTCGGTCCCCTTACCAGCACTGGGGGCTGGGTTGCTCCCTACTGCTGCTGCCATCACCAAAGCCCAATGATGCTTTAGCTTCTGTGCTGTGCTCCTAGCTGTCCCCCATCCCAGTGTTTACAGACCTGTCTTTCTGTCTTCCTAAGCTGCCCTTAGTCCTAGAAAGATAATTTATGGTGACTTTTTCTTGGTTACCCCACTAAGAATTAGGTCTTGTGCATTTTCTAGGTTGTTGTAGAAGAGGGAGCTGAGGCAAAGTTCCTACCCCTTACTCTACCATTTTGACTTCACCCTTGAGAAAAGTACTTTATAAATGGAAAAATTGGAGTTGTCGTTCCTGATTTCTACCCTCTGTGCTCTTTTCCCTCCTTGGGGATACTGACTTGCCCTAGGGCTCTCTCCATCTTCCCTTTCCTTCCATCAGAACTCATCATATCTGCTCTCAGAGACTTTATTCACACTAAAGCATCAATGATTGAGAACAGCATAGAGGGGAATCCTTTTCAAGACTCTCTGCTTTTGCACAAAGATTAGGTCTTCAGTTAGAGGTTGAGTTAAAATGATAGGATTTCAGGTCAACCAGTTGGTGGAAAGGATTTGAATGATTACTGGCACCTTCCTGGGGCTTCTGAAATTGCACCCTATAAAAACAGTCCCCTTTTAGATCGAGGAGGGAGCGGGGAGAGAGGAACACATAATGAATGAAGTTTGAAGGTATTTCAAGTTTTCTGACCTAGGTGGGTGGATGTGGGATATCTGGGATGGCCCCATGTACTAAAAGTCCCAGGATTCAAGAAAGAACCTATCTTTTGAAGCCAGGACTTTCATCTCTAACTCATAGAATATTAATGGAATGCCAGTTGGTCAATAATCATTCATTAAATATTTTCTATGTGTAAGGCACTGTGATAAGAACTGGAGCTACAAAGAGAGGAAAAATAAACATAAAACTCCACAATCCTTGCCCTCATGGCATCTGCATTCTAACAGGGGATTCAAAACATAAATATCCAGTTATATACAAGATATATTCAGAATATATGAAGGTAACCTGAAAAGAGAAGGTCTTAACAGTGGACAGAAAGAGAGGGGTGAAGAGAGGCCTGGGAAATGATCTCTTGAAGAATTTAGGACTGGAGCCAAGTCTTCAGGGAAGCCAGAGGCAGATATGAAGTAGAAGAACATTCCAGGGCATGGGGGAGAGCCAGGGAAAAGGCAAGAAGAGAAGAGATGAATTGTCCAGTTTGAGAAACTGTAAGTAGGATAGTAGTTGAATTAGAAAGTTCATAGAGGGGCAGGTAGGTAGCACAGTGGATAGTGCACTGGCTCTGGATTCAAGAGGACCTGAGCTTCAAATCTGGCCTCAGCCACATAATACTTACTAGCTGTGTGACCCTAGGCAAGTCACTTAACCCCATTGCCTGGCCAAAAAAATAAATAAATAAAATTTAAAAAATAAAATAAAAGGAAGTTAATGGAGGGGAATAAAAAGAAGATTGCAAAGGTAGACAGTTGCCAGAGTATGATGAGCCTTAAATAGAAGCTTTTTTATTTTATCCTAATGGTATTAAGGAACCACTGGAGCTCCTGGAGGGTAGTTAAAAGTGTGGCAGATTCAGATCTATGCTTTAGAAAAATCCCCTTGGCAGCTGAGTGGAGGATGGCTTGGAGTAGGGAGAGGTTTGAGGCAGGTAGACTACCTAGAAGGCTATTGCAATAATCCAAAGGAGAGATGATGAGAGTCCTGTGGCAGCATAATAATAGTTAACATGCATCAGTGAGTTAACATTTGTAAAGCCCTTTGCAAACTTTAAAGTGCCATATGAATACTAGCTTTTATTTTTACTATTATCATTATTATTAAATGGAGAGGAAGGGATGTGCATGTGATAGATATTGTGAAGGTAGAAATGATAAAAGAAATAATAGAACTTGGGCATCACTAAGTTCAACTCACTCATTTTAACAGAGGAAGAAACTGAGGCCCAGAGCTAGCCAGTGACTTACTCAAGCTAGCTGGTGAGAAACCCAACAGGGACCGCAACCCAAGTGTCCTAGTCCCCGGGACTGGGCTCTCTTTGCTACACTGTGCTTCTGGCTTCTTGACTTTGAGTGCATGTTCCCCAGTTTAGCACCAAGTTGCTGATTCATCCCGGGAGCAAGGGAATCTGGAACAGAAGTTCCCAAGCAATAAGAAGGGATGGGGAAATAGAGGCAAGAGGTTGTGGTCCCAAATGGGAAAGCACTGGGTTTGGGATTAGAAGAATGGGTTGTTTCCCAGCTTTGTCTCTTACTAGAAGCATGATGTTGGCCAATACCACTAACTTCTATGAGTCTCAGTTTTCTCATCTGCAAAATGGGAATAGGGTTTCCTGCGCTGACTTTGCCAATTATTGGGAGGAAATAAAGACACAATAGAAATATGGGTTGCTGTTATAGTTTTTGTGCCTCTAAGGGACCTCTATTCCAATCCTTCTCAGCCCAGACCAGAGGGATCCCATGGTGTGAGTCTGGGACTATGAGAGGATGACATTGTTGCTCTTGTTGGTGCTTGGACTACTGGGTGGTCCAGGACCCAATATAAGGGCAAGAATCTGTCTTGGGCTGAAGCACCTCGATCAACATTTACTAAGCACTAAGCACGTGCCGGGTACTGTGCTAAATGCTGGGGATACAAAAAGAGGCAAAAGACAGTTCCTGGCCTCAGGGAGCTTGTAGTCTAATGCTCCTTTCTTCTCCACCTATCCCCTCCTCCCAGGAGCACTCTCCTAAGCCACCTAAAATGGGCTGACAAAACTCCCCAGGATCCAACTAGGTAGTTCTTGGGGGAAGGCCGGGGGATTGTCCTTCCCCACCTCAATTTCTGGTATTCATTCTCTACGTCTCTTATTCTAGTCCTGACAAATCTGGGTTCTAAGATTCCTTCCAGCTCTGACATTCTGTGTTTGTGAGATCATGGATCTAGAGCTTGAAAGTACCTTATGAGTCATATCATCCAACCCTTTCATTTTAGAAGTGAGGGAGCCGAGGCCCAGAAAAGCTAAGTGATTTTGCCAACATCACACATTCAGTAAATGGCAAAAACCAGGATTTGAACTCAGGTCCTCTGACCCCAAATTCAATGCCTGTTCCACTGTATCACACTGCCTCTTCAAAGATCTCTTCCAGTTCTGATCTAATCTAATCTAATCTTTTTGGTCATCCAATCTTCTCTCTCTAATCTCCTTGAGAACCTACCCAGAGCCCAGGAATATGTCCACAGCAAAATATAACATGTGATTTTGTTGAAAAAGGCCAGTGTCACACAGACTTCAACTGCAAGCATTCCATGAAGTGCTGCCATTACAGCTGTGGGAAGAAGTGCTTGGACCCAAAGGCAGGTAAAGAAAGGCCCTGAACAGGGCTTGTTCTGGCTTTTCTACTCATAGATTATTGTTGTTCACCCTTTGTTCTAGAAGACAACCAGTGATATCAGGGGGGTGATGTCTTGACTTGCAAACACACTGGATTTGAGTGAGGAAGGGCTGTGCAAAGTTATCGGCCTCTCAATGCAAGGCTTGGATACTTTGCAGTCAGCTGGTGCCAGAAAGACTGAGGGTGCTGAGCTAGTGAGTTCCAGGGCTAAGACAAATGTTCTTTTCAGACTCTGTATCCTGAACAGTCAGCAAACCTTCCAGCCATACTGCTCAGCAGTGATGTCAGGATTGTGCGCCTTCAATGAGACGGTGGATATGAAAGTATTTTCTTAAGTACTTTATCTGATAACTTAAGCAGTTATCAGAATCATTATTGTTATTATGATTATTCATTTTTCTATTCATCTCTGAAAACTGAACAGATTCTCTTTTACCATGTTGTCTGTTAATTGTCACCTGCATCTACAAAATGTGGGTATTTAACTAGATGACCTGTAAGGTCCTTTTGGATGGTCCAAATAGCCCCTTCTGTTCGCTGAGTATTTTCAGCTTCATTGCAAGGGTCTTCTTTTATTCCATCCAATCTCCATGAGATGCCTGTAAGAGGGAGAAAAAGATGAGTATAAACCTATAGGCTAATACCAACCCTCAGTTTGTATGGAGGCCTGGAGAGGGAAAGGGATTTACTTGAGACCACAGGAGTAGGGAGTGGCAGAGCCCAAGTCCTAGATTCTCCAGCCCTAGTACCACAGCCCAGGCTGGGACTGGGCAGCCATGGCAAGAACACAGAAACAAGGAATCTGCTCCCATTTGTTCTCCCTCATTTTCCATCCTCCACCCAGATGTATGCACCCTGTCACCCGAAGTGGGCGACTGTGATGACTTTCACTTACGCTGGTTCTACAGCATGGAGGCACGTACCTGTGAACATTTCTTCTATAGTGGATGCAATGGGAATGTCAACAATTTTCCCAACAAGAAAATCTGCGAGCAGACCTGTGGTGGGACAGGTGAGATGCCAAGCGTGATAGACTCAGGGCTGAAGGACTGGGCATGGTGATAAAAGGAGGAGCCTTCCTGCATCTTTCAAGACACCATAGAGAGCACTTAGTTCAGGGGTTCTTAGCCTTTTTTACATGACAGTCTACCTTGGCAGTCTGGAGAACAGGAACACCTTAGGCTAATGTTGCTGTCACACTTTAATTCATTACTTAAGGAAGTGCTAAATTTCAGCTACAAGTTACTAAAATGAAGATGTAATTTTTTTGCCACCCAAGTTCACAGACCACCTGAAATCTGTTTGATGCCTAGCTACATCTAATCTGATTCATTTGTGGAAGGGAAAAACTGAGGCCCAGAGAGAAGAAAATTATTTGACTGAGGTCATACAGTTTGTAAGTGGCAGAGGTTGGTTTAGAACCCTGGACTTTCTGTGCTACTTTAACTTCTGGCAAGGGATCTTCCTCAGACCCTGGGTCCCTTTGGGCCATCCCTCCTGCCTGAGAAGGTTTGCTACAGTTCCATTTTAGTCTTTTCCTTCCCTCCAGTAGAAGATGCAAAGCCAGGAATGAGGATTGAACTGGCAATACAGGATTGAGAGAGATCAGAAACCAGACTGGGGCAGGGGGCAGCTAGGTGGCACAGTGGATAGAGCACCAGCCCTGAAGTCAGGAGGACCTGCGTTCAAATCTGGCCTCAGACCAAACACAACACTTACTAGCTGTGTGATCCTGGGCAAGTCATTTAATCCCAATTGCCTAAAAAAAAAGAAAGAAAGAAAGAAACCAGACTGGGCCAGTATATGGGAAGGGGAAGGAAAGACTGATTTAGTTAGCTGACTGTATTGAGAGCCAGGCCACGGTCATAATGGGAAGCAGAGTACCAAGGACATGGAAGATACAGATTTCTGTAATCACATCTAATAATGCCTATGGTCTTAGAAAAAGAATAGAGGAGTGATCAGTGAATTAAAGGAAGAAAGGTGTCCTGGAGAAGGTTTGGGGCCATGCTTTGAAGGAAGAGGGGGATATCATTCTGGTGAAATAAATTTTGGTGGGAAGCAGGGGTGGCTGCATCTAATGGGAAGTGCCTGTGTCTTCTCTTCCAGTCAGGAAAGGATTTTGTCCACCTTTCCCCTTCAAAGGCATTAGCAACTGTTCTGCGCCCTGTCGTAAAGACCCAGAGTGCCCTAAGACATACAAATGCTGTGATTCTAGCTGTGGCTTGGTGTGTACCCCACCCTGGAAAGGTGAGATCTGGATGTAGGATGTGTTCCTCAAAGCTGGCTAGACACATGACCAGAATTAGAGATTTGGGACATCTAGTCTGTCCCTGAGCAAAGATTCCCAGCTATGAAAGTTGGTCATAAACAGTGTCTCATCTTAGAACCAAAGGGAAACAATTAGTCTCATTTTGCTGATGAGGACACTGGGACTCGGGATCTCTGACTTTTAGAGATTGTCTCAATTTGTTTTAAAGGGTCACCAGGGCACTAGCCAAACTTTTGGAGCCAATGACTGGCCACCTTCTAATTCCTCCAGGCTTAATCAAAGGTTAATTGATGCTGCTACAAGGAGTGTGACCCCTGGCAGCAAAGAAGAAAGCCAGCCGTGGATTTAAGAAAGAATTAGTCTTGGCAGTCAGAAATTGAGTTGCATAGAGGGGCAGGACCATAGAGACATTCTTAACAGAGACACATACCCAGTGAGGACATAAGAAGAGGCAGGATATCAGGATCCTGCAACATCAGAAGCCAGAGTCACCTTGACGTATGTATTTCCTAAGTGTGTACTTCTTTGCTAGCACATATATGCTCACTCTTCCAACTGATACTGTGTGTATTTGTGGGAGTATGCCCTAGCTTTATAAGGTTGATGTTTTGTAGCTATTATTCCTATGATGCCATTACAGTAAATATCTTTTTTTAGGTAATTATGTCAACTGGTTGACTATTAAAGGTGAAAGCCTGAGCACTGGTTAAGACCACTGAGAGCTGAGTTCTAGGCCTAAGTCATGGAGTCGTCTGTTTTCTTGTGTTGCTCTACAGTTAAGCCCTGGGACTGCCCACCTCAGCCATCCTTTTGCAAGGCAATTCAGAAACCCTTGTGTCAGAGTGATGGAGACTGTGAAAATAATGAAAAGTGCTGTTCTAATTGTGGTTTGAAATGCATTAAAAGTTAGTAATGGATGAGGTTGGGGAAGGTGGGAGGAAGGGGAGGTGAGTGCCCTTGGGAATAATGTCAAGTTCCCCTCCTGACTGTGGGCTTTCAGGTTGGGAGTGAAGGAAAGGGCTTGGGGATGGCAAATGGATCCCAGTTCAGAAGAAAGAAAGAGGGCAAATTTTCTATTTAGTAAGTTCAGAGAACATTGCCACCAGCATCAGTAATGAAAGCTAGGCTGGGCTAGGAAAACTTTGCCTTCATCAACCATATCCTCCACTACTGGGGAGGGAAATAAGCCAATCCCAAGGCCTTCACAGAAGCTCCTGGATTTTGAGATTTTACTGAGAGCCCCATTGCTCTATAGCTCCTGGATCTCAGGATGTGGGGCAGGGATTCTTCATCTATTTTGTGTTATGGACCCCTTGACTATCTTGTCCATTCTAGTGAAGCTGATGGATCTCATCTTTGAATGTTTTTAACTGCATGAAATAGAATATATAAGATTACAAAGGAATCTAATTATATTGAAATGCAGTGGTCAAAATATATTTTTTTAATTCATGGACCCCGGGTTAAGAACCACTCATACAGAGCTTAATCTGACCTTGGAGATCATCACCATATTTTACAAGTAGGGAATGGGCAGTTAGGTGGTGCAGTGGATAGATCTCCAGCTTTGGAGTCAGGAGGACCTGAGTTCAAATCTGACCTCAGACACTTGACACTTACTAGCTGTGTAACCATGGGCAAGTCACTTAACCCCAATTGCCTAAGCAAAAACAACAACAACAAGTAGGGAAACTGAGGCCCAGAGAGTTTAAGTAATTTTCCTGAGGTCACATGGGAAGTACATAGTAACGATAATGATGTTGTCTATCACTTCCATAATGCTTTCAGATTTGCCAAAGCTTTACATATGTTATCTCATTTGATTTAGACCCGAGGAAATAATACAAGTCCTTCTAATCTAACTGTCATGATGGCTTTCAACTATTGCCCTGTATTGGCTGGATTTTGACTGAAAAAGAGTCAAATGAGAAAAGAACTTCAATCATGAAAAGAAGGAATCCTTTCCAATTCCTGGGAAGGACTGAGTTGAAGAACACCACCATCATCTTTCATGCCACCAAATTCTTTTTCAGGCTATCTCCCAATGCTTTCCTCCATATATTATGGGACACTCTGTCCTCCAGAATTCCCTGCCACTTCCTTCAATGTCTTCCATTGTCCCCTTAATTGAAATGTTTTCCCTCTTCTTCTTTGTCTGTTAAGATCCTATTTGTCCTTTAACTTGCAACTCAGATGCTCTCTCCTCCATGAAGCCTTCCCTGCTCCCCTTAGTAAGTAGTGCCTTTCCCTGGCACCTCACTTTGTTTGCTCTCCGCAGCATATTCATCATGTAATATTAGATGACAAGCAGCATGGCATCATGAACAGAAACCTGAGCTTGGTGACAGCAAGACATGAGCTGGAGTCCTGCCTTTGGTACATACTGGCTCTGGAAACCTGGGCAGGTCTCAGTGCTCTAGGCCAGTGGTGCCAAATTCAAATAGAAATGGGGGCCATTAAGCCATACATAAGGATCCCTGCAAGCCAAATATTGACTTAAAAAATCACAAAGAAACATTATCTATGTTTTATTGTATTTCTACTTATTTTGTTAAATTAAATTTTTTAATTAATTCAGAGGAAGCCCATCAATTAAGGAACAGCTGAACAAGTTGTGGTATACACTGAGATGAAATACTACTGTTCTATAAGAAGTGGTAAGCAGGATGGTTTCAGAAAAACCTAGGAAGACTGATATGAACTGATGCAAAGTGAAGTGAGCAGAACCCAAAGAACATTGTACACCATAACAGCAACATTGTAAAGATGATCAAATGTGAAAGACTTAGCTACCCTGATCAAGACAGTGATTCAAGATGATTCCAAAGGTCCCATAATGAAAAAAAATGCTATCCCCTTCTAGAGAGAGAACTGATGAACTCTGAGTGGCAGATTAAAGCATGCTTTTTTTTTTCATTTTCTTTGTTCCTTGCTTTTATTGGGGTTTTTGGACTACATAGCTAATATGAAAATATGTTTTGTGTGATTTCCAATGTACTTAACTTTTCAATAAGTAAGGGAAGGGCAAGAGAATTTGGAAGTTAAATTATTTTAATGAATAGTAAGAAATAAATTAATGAATTTAAAGAAAATTTCCAACTAGATTTTAATCTGGTTCAGGCTGCACTTGGAAGAGTTGTCACTGCTTATTTAAGTCCTCTGTTCTAAGCAATTCTCTCAGATTACAAATTGCAGAGAAGTTGCTGATTTGCATCGGTAAAGTGAATTTCCTTACCCAGGAGCTCCCTAAACAATTGAAATCATAGATCTGGTCTCTGTCCCTATGCCTGATATTAGATATCGTTGCTTTCTCATCTCCCTGGGGACAAGAAGTGTATAACACCTAGGAAATAATTGAGAGGGATGAGGGAGAGACAAGAAAGAAATGAGCATCAGTCTTTGAGTAGACAGAGAGGAAGATGGTAAGAACAACTCTTATTTATTTAGTTCTTTGAGTTTTCGCAGACCTCTTAGTAAGATAGTATGAGAATTTTTCTCTATAGTTTATCAGTCAATAAGTTGCAGAGTTAGAAAAAACCTTGGAGATCATTATCTCTAATGATCCTCAACTCACTTTACTGATGAGGAAACTGAGGCCCAGAAGTTTTAAATGATTTGTCCAAGGTCACACAGGTAATAAGTGTCAGAGGTAGTATGACTCCAAACCAGCCCTCTGAGAATTCATGAGCTGTGGGAAACCATATCAGTCCTCTCATCAAATGACTCAGCATGACAAGTAAGCAAGTGTCTAAGTATAGGAGTCAAAGAAAGGAACAAAACCTTTGGAGCTTAAGAAAAAGACATGTTTTACACACTATAAATTACTACTTTTCCATTGAAAGTATGGCTACATTCACAGTAGCCCTTTGCTGTTAGGATCTTTCAATTAATAGATACTGGAAACACAACTAGGGCAGCTAGGTGGCATCACAGTGCATGGAGCACTGGGCTTGGAATCAGGAAGATTCATCTTTCTGAGTTCAAATCTGGCCTCAGCCACTCACTAGCTGTATGATCCTGGGCAAGTCACTTACTTCTGTTTGCCTCACTTTCCTGATCTGTAAAATGAGCTAGAGGAGGAAGCAGCAAACCACGCCAGTATCTCTGCCAAGAAGACTCCCAAGTAGGGTCATGAACAGTTAGACACAACTGGAATGACTGAACCACAGAAACAGGGCAGGGGGAGGGAGACCTGAAAATTTTGTTGTTAAAAAGATTGAGACCCATGAACTCATCCAACCTTCACATTTTATAGATGAGAATACTGAAGAAGTGAATTGTCCAAGATGATACTAGTGCTGAGAATCAAAGCTACAATCCACACTGGGGTCTCCTGACTTCAAGACCCATGTGTTTTCCACTAAATGTGAGGTAACTAAGTCTAAGAGGTGAAACAGCTGGAGAGGTATGCCTCATACCTCAGAGATATTGCAGGTTCAATTCCACACAACTGCAATAAAGCAGATATACAATGATCCGAGAGTCACATGAATGTTTGTGTTTCCCTGTGCATATAAAAGTTATGTTTACACTGTGTTGTAGTCTCAATAGTATTATGTCTAAAAAAAAAACCCAATGTATATACCTTTATACCATTATTATTAAGCAGGTAGACAAGGAAGGAAAGGATAATTAAGGGAGGGAATTTTCTTTCATACTGAGGAGATTGTGAATTTTACAGAAAGGTTCTATTTATCCCTTCATTCCCCATCTTACAACACACACATACACACACACACACACACACACACACACACACACACACACACACACACACTATCTTAACAGGGAACAAAATTTCAACCCAAACAACCTTAGAGATCTTCTTGTCCAGAGGCTCCCCACCCATAGACCCATAATCTGTAGACCCTGGGGGGAAGAGGGGGAACCCATAAGGTTACTTGGAATTATTTGAGGTAGGATCATACACTCAGAGGATATAAATGAATATCTACTTGTGGAATGAGAAGGTCAGGAGGGTACAAGAATCTGCTAGAATCGTAGGGTTGGTTGTTAAATTTTCAGCGTGAACATTATCTATCTCCCAAGTCAGCAGATGCTACAAATCTCAGCTTAATTTCTTGTTTTGTTGATTGTCTAGACCTAAAGTGAGGGTTAAAATGTTAATAATGAAGATTCAACTTTAAAAGGTATCAGTATTTTTTTCTAGAGAATCAGTCATTAAAATCAGCACCCTCATGGCATGCTTACCCTCCCAGGGCTTGTGACGCAATTTTTGTGACACACATGAGGTCTTGGTGTCCTTGACATTTGCTACCCAGCCTTGCCCGTCCCAAGAAAGTTGGAGGGTGTCCAGTTTCCAGTTCCCAAAGCCCCCACACTGGCCCCAGTCAGCTTGATTCCAGCAGATGCATCATGACTGAGAAAGCTACAGCTATCTGCCACCCACAACAGCTGGCTCCTAGCCCTTAAAACCACAATCCCTCTCATCCTTCCTTTCCTTTTTTCCTCTAGTTCCTGCTGTTGTTCATGCTCTGAGAATTAAGTCCCAGGAGGCCCTGATCTTCAAGGGTACCATCAAGAACCAGAGGGGCAGGGAGGGGATAAACCTTCATTAAGCACCTACTATGTGCCAGGTACTGTGCTAAGTGCTTTTTCACAAGTATTATCTCATTTGATCCTCACAGCAACCCTGAGAAGTAGTTGCTATTATTATTCTTTTACAGTTGAGGAAACTGAGACAAATAGCAGTAAAGTGACTTGCCCAGGGTCACACAGTCAGTAAGTATCTGAGACCAGATTTGAACTTAGGTCTTCCTGATTCCAAGCCCTGTTCTATCCACTGCACTATCAGTTGCTTGAATAGAGTATTGAAGGGAAGTTTTGTTATCCCCCAGGAAAAGAGGGGACTCTAGACTAGGCAGTGACTCACTCCATGGAAAAGACACAGATAGGGAGGGGAGAGCTTCTTTCTAGATCCTTTTAGCCTTCTCAGTGATATTTCATTATTTCACCTCATCTTATTTTTTTAAAAGCTAATTTTTTTTTAAATTTAAGAAATCCTAACTCAGGTGTGGTGACACATGCCTGTAATCCCTGCTCCTGGGGACACAGAGGTTATTGGATTACTTGAGCTCAAAGCTAAAGTCAATCAGGTGTCTTCACTAAATCTGACACCTGGCTAGGGAGGGATTCCCTACAGCAAGACAGATGAGCACCTTCTCTGCACCTAAAGGTTCAGGCAGTGACTGGCCTGGGATGACACATTTACTATGTGTCAAGATGACAGACTGGAACTCAGGACTTCATGGTTCTGAGGCCAGTTCAATACCTCCTTTGCTAATCAACCTAGTGTTCATTCATTCATTCATTCACTCAAAAGATTCTACCTTGTTCAGAACATCATGCAAGGTTCTAAGGTAGGGACAAAGTTGGAATAAGACTCAGCGTCTGGCTTCATGGAGTTTCCAACTTAATAGTCAACAAGAATATGTTAAGCACTTACTATTTGCAGAGGAGGAGAGGAGATACAAATACAGGTAACTTCAATGTACAGTATTATGAAAATGTACCAAATAGATATGCATAAAGCACAACATGAAGTTTGACAGGACAAGTCCACGTAATAGGAGGGCAATCAGGGAATGCTTACTAGAAGAGGTGATATTTGGGATGAGTTCTAAAGGAGAGGTACTGAGAGAAAGGATTATTTCTCTCCTGCATTTAAGAACTAATTATTGAATTAGGACCAAGGTCTTTCCCCTTTTTCTACTTCCTCATCCAGAAATCAACCAGTGTGAGAAATCTTCCTCAAAGACTTACCCAGGCTAAAGATCTAATCAAAGACAGCAGAGGAAATGTGAAATTTAGGCTAATGGGTGGACTCCTGCTAGTGCTGTTAACTCAGACAGGTCTGGGAAGATGTGGATTCTCCCTTTGTCAGACAGGTGATATGGAGAAGGCTCATGGTCCTCTTTGAGAGTGAAGGACAAACAACAACAATGGAAATAGTGAAGTCTCTTTGACCAAGATCTGGGGGCTCAGTGTCACATACCTCAAGACCCTCATACATCCCATCTCATTGGAATATTCATTCTCTCATGAATTGTTAACCAATCAGAGTTGTTTGCCACCCTCAGGAACACCCACTCTTCCAAGGGCATAGAAAGAGTGAGCCCACTGCCATGAAGGGTCTTTGGCATTCAACAGTGCCACTGACCTCTTTTATGAATAACATGCTGCCACCATTGAAATGATTAAATTGCCAAGAAACTATGTCTCTTGAACTTTTTAAATATTACAGTAGGAAGTATCAGGAAAAGGGGAAGGGGGAGCTGTTTGCAGCAAAGAGGAAAGGATGAGCAGAAGCAGGGAGGTGGGAAAGAACAGTGTCTGTTGGCTCCCCATGAGGCTGGGGAGGAAGGGGTCCAAGAGGTGCCCTAGACTCCTGCTCCTGGTCTGACCCAGGTTAGTGCAGCCCCTTGGATGCCTAGCCATGTACTGGGGAGAACATTAAGGACTGCCAAATCCAACCCTTCAGAAAGACTGGGGTAGGTGGGGCTCTGATGTGCAGACACAGCCCACAGATAGTGAGACATGGGTAAACAGCCTAGAGATTGGCTGGGGAATCAGGCCCCGAGGCAGGCCAGACTAAGAAGAAGCCAAGCAGGCAGGCAGCCAGGCCAGCAAGGTGGGAGGGACTGTGGGAGAGAAGAGCCCTCAGCACCATGGGCTCTGCAGGCCACCTCCTGATGCTGCTGCTGCTGCTCATCCTGAGTCAGGACCACAACAAGCTGCTGGCTTTACTCCGCATGAAATATGGCTGTAGGTGATGGGGGTGAGGCAGGGGAGGACTGTGGGAAGGGAGATACCCCACAACCCCCAACTCAGTTGAAGCTCAGAATATTTCCCCAAAGAGTTTCCTTCAGAAGCAAGCATAGGAGGGAGAGGGAAGGGGGCTGTGGGGAAGGGGAAGAATGGGGGATGACAGAGTGAGTCATGCTGTGGTCTCCCCTAGGGAGGTGCCCCCGAATCAGAGTGAAGTGTCTTTTCAGAGAGAATAATGATTGCTTCAGTGACAGAGATTGCAAGGCTCAAGAGAAATGCTGCCTGTTCAGCTGTGGAATGAAATGTGTAGACCCCACTGAAGGTATGCCACTGTCTTTCCTTCCTTCCTTCCTTCCTTCCTACCTTTTTTTCTTTCCTTCCTTCCTTCCTTCCTTCCACCAGCCACATGACATGCATTTAGTAAGCACCCACTAGGCCCAGAGAGCTGTGATGGGCACTGGGAGTGAGAGGAAGTTTAGATAAGTGCCTGTCCTCATGGAGCTTACAGTCTACCATCTACTGGGGAAAACAGAAACACAGGCCCATAATAAACATTGCTGTGAATTCAGGAAATGCAAAATGCAATCTAAGAACCAAGGGAGAAGATGGTTCCAGGACCAGAGAAGGCTTCATAGAAGAGGTGGCATTTGAGTTGACTTTGCCAAGACAGGTAGGCATTCCAAAGGAGAAGAGGGAAACAGAGTCTGTTTTAGGCAGTGTTCCCTGCTCTCCCCCCTGCCCCAGGATGCCTGCTTCTGTTCATGGTCCCAGCTGACAGCCCCAGACCTCAATGCACCCATCTCCAGCATTCAGGAGCACCAGTTTCATTATTTGGTCCAGGGACTCCTGGTCTCTGTGCTCTAAGCTGAGGGAGTAGATATGGTGGGAAGGGGCTCACATCCTGGCTCCAACTCTTTCACTGTGTGATCCTGGGCCATAGCCTAGCAATGGGATCTTAGGGTCACAGACATTGACCCCAAGGGCACACAGCTGGACCTGGGAGCCAGGTCTCTTCTTCCAGATAAGACTGTCAACGTTGGTGATGTATGGTGATGGGGAGAGGGAGGCCAATGTTACCTTCAAACTCTTTCCTTGGTCCACAAACTCTCTAATCTCTTTTCAGACCCATGTGACAGTATCATCAAGACTAAACATTGTCAGCACACTTTGACCAGATGGTACTACAGCATTAAAGAAAATGAATGCTACCCCTTTGAGTATAACCTATGTGCTGATAACAAAAACAGCTTCCAGTCTCATGATGTTTGCAAGAGGACCTGCTTGGCATTTGGTGAGAACAAGGAATTTGAGAGGCAGTAGGGTGGTGTCATGGAAAGAGCTCTAGACTTTGAGTTAAGACACCAGGGTTTTAATTGGGCTCTGACCCCAATTAGCTTCTGGCCAATGTGTGGACTCCTTGCCCAAAGGGGCTCATACACATAGGATGTCACAGACTTAGGAACATGGCTTTTCCTTTGACCAGCTGGTTCTGTCTCAAGGCCAGTGTGGACCCCCAGCTTGGACTGGCTGCCAGGCTTAGCTTTGCAAAGGCCTCCAGAGATGGGGCCAATTTTCAGATAAGCCCTTTCTGTCTTGTCTTTTTTCAGCATACCTGTGTACTTCTTAAAAGGACCACTGAGTGTGATCACATTAAGACACTAGTGTTAGCATGCTAACATTTCAGGATCTGATAATAGCCACTGTGGAGGACCAGATGTCTCCCAGGGAACAATCTCTTCCTTTGTAGTCAAGTCTAATCTCGATCAGAATGAGATGAATGCATTGAAAAGCAAGGCTTGTGAGCTGTCTCCTAGGACTGGAGCTCATACCCTTCTGTGGGTGTGTGTATGTGCAAAATCCAATCTGCTTCCTGGAGGAGTGTCACTTGAGCTGGTCCTTGAAGGAGAAGAAGGATGTCAGCAGCTAGAGATAGGACAGAGGCAGGGAGTCTGGGAGTCCATTCCAGGAAAGAGGGACAGTATCAGTCCATTAACACTTATAACATGCCTACCATGTGCCAGGACTTATGCTAAGTGCTGGGGATGAAAAAAGGCAAAAGGTAAGTTCTTTGCCTGCCCTCAAGGAGCTCACAGTCTAATGAGGGAGACCCCATATAAACATGCTACATACAGGATGAATTAGAAAGTCAACATAGGGGATCACTAGGATTAAGGGGGCTGGAGACAGGCTGCCTGTAACAGGTGGGGTTTTATCTGAGATTGGAAGGACACCAGGGAACCCAGGAGGGAGAGGTGAGGAGGGAGGGCATTCCAGACATGGGGGGACATTGAGGGAAAATGTCCAGAGTTGGGAGATGGATGGTCTTGTGTGAGGAACAGCCAAGAGGCCAATGTCACTGGAGCAAAGAGTCCATGGGGGGTGTAAGATGTGAGAAGACTGGAAAGAGGGTGCTAGGGGCTAGGTTATGAAGGGCTTTGAATGCTGAACAAAGGATTTTATATTCAATCCTGGAGGTTATAGGGAGCCCCAGGAGATTATTGAATCCCAGGATGGGAGGTATGAGAGGTGACATGATCTGCAAAGTGTTAGCAAGGCACAAAGAGTAGGAAATCAGAATGAATAGAAGGCATGTGGAGATGTCCATGGTGCCTGGGACACTGAGTCCCTGATCTAGAGGAGGGTGAGATAAGGCTGCACATCTTGCCTGTGGAGGAAGGGGAGGAGGAGGTCTGGGGCCAAGGGGAGGGAGGTCTTGGAGATGAGGAGTCTACCTTCTTCTTTCTTTTCTAGGACATGGAGTGCCAATACATCTTTTTGAGCTGGAAGGTGAACCATTTACTGTGCTAGTCTAGGCAAATACGTCCCTCAGAAGAGCTTCAGTCTTGGTCCTGCTTCCTTCCAAGCCGCTGACTAGTGCCCCTGAATCTGTGCCTGAGAAGGCTGGCTTTTTCTGGGCTTCAGGGGCCCTCCTACTCCATACCTCTGATCTGAATAAAACCAGTTCAGCTGCCTTATTGACTTGCAATTGATTTATGGGAATCCAGAATAATTTTAGACCTCAGAAATCACCACATCATACCTTTTATATCCTCTGGAAATAGGAACTGTGTGGGTGCTCCATGGATTCTTCAGCACAAGAGTGAGTGCCCATGACTGAATAATGTCCAATTCCCACAGCTGAGCAGCTGAGCAAGGTGTTGTTCATCAGGGGAAAACCCAAGGCCCTGACACTCAGTACCATGAGGCCCCGAGTTCCACCCTCTTCCTGCCTGACCTGAGTTTGGACCCTAGGAGCTGCTACTTACCCCAAACAGTTTCTGGTTGGGATGCAGGAACCAAGAGAGGAGGGGCTGCCCTGGCTCCAAGAAGGATGGGACTGTGAACAGCAAGAGAATAAGAAAGAGTGACACAGGAAGGGGAAACAGCTGGCACAGTAGAGATCTAGGTCCTAACTTGGGTTCTGTCACTTTCTATCATGGGATGTAGAACTCCCTTCTCCCCCAAACCACCAGGGTCATAGGCCCTAGAGCTGCAAGCAACCTTTAAGATAATCAGACAATCCACCTTCTTTTACAGAGGAGGAAAATGAAGCCCAGAGAAGGAAAGGACTTGCTCAAGGTCACACAGTGAGTAAGGAGCAGAACCTGAATTCCCATCCCAGTCCTCTGACTCCAAGTTCAGGGTCTTTCCAACTCCTCCCTTCTCTCTCTTTCCTATTGGTCAAATGTTAGATAAGACCTTTGCCCTTTCTGAGCCTCAGTCCCTTATCAGTGCCCAGTGACCTGGAGTCTGGCCAAGAAAACACAGAAAAGACCAGCAAACTATGGGCCCAGGCCAGGCTTGCAGACTTCTTACAAGTCCCTTGGACGTGGATCAGAGAAGGGAAGACTAGATGGCTAAAGAATCCCCTGGTCTCTTCAGCCAGATGTCTTAGAGGTGGAGGAAGCAAGGAAGGAGGCTAAAAAGAAGGAAGGAAGGAAAAAAAGAAAGAAAAAAGAAGGAAGGAATAAATGGAAGGAAGAAAGAAAAGAAGGAAGGAAATAAGGAAAGAGGAAGGAATAGATGGAAGAAAGGAAGGAAGGAAAAAAGGGAAAAGCATTTCTTAAGTGCTTGCTGTGTATCAGGCACTCTGTTAAGCACTGAGTATACAAATAGTAAAAGTAAAAAGACAGCCCCTGCCCTGAAGAAGCTGACCTTCTGATAGTCAAATAATTTTTAAATTATCTCTCCTGGATCTATTTTCCAGGTCAGTTCTTTTTTCAAAGACATATTTCACATTGTGTTCTGTTTTTTAAAATTCTTTCGGTTTTGTTTTACATTGTCTTGATTTCTCATAAAGTCACTAGCTTCCAAATGCTCCATTCTAATTTTTAAGGAAGTATTTTCTTCAATGAGCTTTTGGACTTCCTTTTCCATTTGGCTAATTCTACTTTTTAGGGCATTCTTCTCCTCATTGGGTTTTTGGACCTCTTTTGCCCCTTGAGTTAGGCTATTTTTTAAGGTGTTATTTTCTTCAGTATATTTTGGGTCTCCTTTAGCAAGCTGTTGACTTGTTTTTCATGATTTTCTTGCATCACTCTCATTTCTCTTCCCAGTTTTTCCTCTACTTCTCTTACTTGCTTCTCCAAATTCTTTATGAGTTCTTCCATGGCCTGGGACTGATGGATATTTTTCTAGGAGGCTTTGGATGTAGGAACTTTGACTTTGTTGTCTTCTTCTGGTTGTATGTTTTGATCTTCTTTGTGAGCAAAGAAAGATTCTATTGTCTGACTTTTTTGGTGAAGTTTGCTCATGATTCTAGCCAATTTCTAGAGTTTTAAACTCTTTGTTAAAGTAGGGGTCTGCTCCCAGTGTGGAGAATGTACTGTCCCAAGCTTTGGCAGTTTTATGCAGTTGTTTTCAGAGATACTTCTAGGGACCTGTAAGTTTTCAGTTCTTCCAAGGTGGTATGATCAAGGGTGAGGTGTTTACTCCTTTCCTGGCCTGTACTCTGCTCTTGTGACCACAAGCACTCTATTCTGCCTTGGAACTCTAAGGAGGATTCTCTCTTCACCACCACTACAAGCTCCACCACACCAGTGTTCCTCCTGGCCCCAGGACCACTACCCAGAACTGTGACCAAGATACAAGCAAGGGCAAAGCAGAATCCTGCCTCAGCACCAGCAAAGAGATCCCTGCAATCTCCCTCTGATCAACCACTGGATTCCCTCTCAGTCTGTGGGCTGAGCTCAGGAAGCACCCACCACCGCAGGGCTGTGCCAGGACTGGGGCTGGGACCAAGCTTGTCTCTCACCAAGGTCATAGACTTTTCCTATCCACCCTCTAAGTTGTCTTTGGTGTTTGTGGGTTGAGAAGTCAGGAAACCACCACAGCTGCCTGTTATTCAGAACCCTGAGGACTGCTCCAGGTTCACTGAGGCCTGGTCTTTGCACACCCACACTGAACTGCTTTCCTCTCCCAGCCTGGCACAATAGACTTTTCCAATCAACCCTCCAGGTTGTCTTGTGCTGGAAATTTGTTCACTCTGTCTTTTTGTGGGTTCTGCCGCTCTAGAATTTGTTTAGAGCCATTTTTTACAGGTATTTGGAGGGGTTTGGGGGAGAGTTCAAGCAAGTCACTGCTTTCAATCCACCACCTTAGGATCTCATATTCTAATGGGGAAAGACAACACACCAAATAGAACTAACAAGTGGGGTGGCACAGGGGAATGATTAATGAATGTGCTTGGCTCAGGGTTCCCAGAATCTAGGAAATGGACTGGGAGGGAAATGAAAGCTATGTTGGGCCCCTCTGCAACACCCTGAGAGGAAAGCCCTCATCTATGGGAGAAGGGGACATGCCTTCCAGAAGGGGCTGCGGGTGATTAAGGGAGGAGGAGACAGTGACAGCAGCATGGTTCTGAAGTTTCAAAGTCAGGAACATGGCTGAGAGAATAAAGGAGGAGGTGTAGGAGACAGGAAGCTGAGGCTGAAGTAAAAAGAAGTTGGCACAGAACAAAGAAACATCTGGGAGGTGTGTCAGAAAAGAAGTTTGTTGGAGGAGTTTGGAGAAAGAACCAGCAACAAGCAGTCAGTTGACAGAGGGCTTCAGCTGCATAGTTCCTGATGACTGGCTGAATAAAGACTGAAGCTTCAGCTATTGCCCTTGAGAGTCTCTAAAGCTTCAAAGAGCAGAGCTTCTCAGAAGGGTATGCAGCCCTCTTCTACTTCCTCTAGTTTGAAGAGGAGACAGATAAGTGCTGTAACCAGCTGCTTTGCTGTAAGCGTAGAAAGAGATGACCAGGCTGGTTTACCTTGCCCAGAGAATCCACCTAAGCTGGTCTCTGAGAGCTCTGTTCTAATTGGGTAAGCAGCAACAGGGTGAGGGAATACTTAGCTCAGCTAGCCTGGTTAGCCCAGAGATACCCAGCTTGATGAGTCTTCAAGTTGCCTGGCTTTTAAAGAGAACTGTTGTTCACATTAAGAAGTAACAGTTTTTCAGTGCTGTTTTAAGAACAATTGTAAGGTGAAGGAGCTTGTAAATCCTACATGGGAGTGGAGAAGAGAAGAGTTTATGACTAGTGGCACAGAGGTGGGGTGAGGGCCGGCTGAGAAGCTTGGTCTCGGTAACCCATCCTGAATGACCATTGAGGGCCCTGAAGATGCCGTGCTCAGAACTTCCAAGATCCAGGGGTTTTGGGGGAGGTCCTTATGCCATGAAGAAGAGTTCAGCACAGCAAACCAGGGAAGCCAGAGAAAGACTAAGCAGAAGTAGAACTACCCCACCATATAGCCCCCCAGTAGGTGGAGCCTGTGCCTGGCACAAGGTCCAGTACAGAAATTAATTGAACAAATCAAAAACATCAACCGTTAACAAAGCTTGTTACCTTGTAAGTGAAAATAATATATAGAATACGTAGACGTAGATAGGCTATGCATACCTATGTAGAGATATGTAGACGCCAGTGTAAAAATTCCCGAAAATAAGGATAGAGTTCCATATCAACCAGAAACAGAGCATCAAAGGAAATTACTAGATTTTCTCAAGGACTATATTATATGGATGCCTAGTATTGACGAATGTTTAAGGGATCCCCTGAGCTTATCTTTTTGAGTTGCCGTATTGTCCAGAAACACTGGACCCAGAGCATGCAGGAGACCCTCATTGTGTCAAAGACAAAGCCCCCTGCCCCAGCTGACATAATTTTGTTTGCATCCCAAATTGGACTCCCTGGCACCAGTCAGTCTGCACTAGGCTGAGAAACTGCTTGTACAGCTGGGACCCTTGTAGATAAGCAGACCCTCCTATCTTCATAGTCTAGCAATTAATTCCCAAGGGAAAAGAATGTGACTTCTGCCATCATCTTGCTCCTCCCTTCAGGAGGGGTTTTGTTCTTTTCCCACCTTTACTGTACCTTTCCCCCTCCCATGCCATGACCCTTTAGATGGAGATTTCTGGTACCTCCTCCTCCCTTTGTCCTGCTGTTATAAAAATGCAAACTTCTATATGGAATGTGAATTCTATTGGTTCCATATGCATGTTCATTCCTTTTGTAATAAACCTAGTTTTCATAAAGGTTTTGTGAAGTTGTGATTGCTCGTTGACAAATGGTGGCAGTGGTGGGCTGTGATGACAGAAAGTGACTCAGACTGGCCAAAGGCTTCAGGTGCAGGGTGTGCTACCAGCATGGGGTATTAGATCTCTGGTTTGGAGAGTTTTACTTCCCATTCATATCCCAGGCTGGCCTTTCTTTGGGCTGAATTCTTTATTACATGAGGAATCGGGTTGTCCATGGCTGAAGAGTTTTCCCAAGGTAAGACCTTGGGTTTTTTTAAGGGTATCCTAGTCAAAGAGTATTTGAAAGTCCAATCTGGATAATTGGGCTAGATGATGATAATGGTTATCCTAGCTAGGACAGGATTAGGTTTGGTTGTTGCAAGCTGGAAGACTCTGGTGAGGAGAACTGTCAGAGGAGCTCAATGTCCAGGGTTGTCCAGCCTGAGGAGAGCTGAAGGTGATTAGGTATTTTGGCCCT